GTGGAAGAATTCTTGTAACCATTAGCATTCATGTAGGTGAAAGCAGAAATGCTTGCAGATGACTCGGCATAACAGTCCATAAATTTCATCAACTTCTCAACAAATATTGATGCCCACAGTTAATGCAGATATCACATTTAAATACAGTGCTGATACAGTCAAATAGACTGAATGCAGATAGCAGGGACTGTAGAGGTAATCATTTCATGTATCATTGAAAAAAACTAGGTGATTCTCTTTTCATTTGCCTCAGCATTGATGGACAAAGTTATCGGTACCTGTATTGGGGAGATAGCAAGTGCCCAGTGGAATAGTCAAGGTGCACATAAATTGCCCAAACACCGACCTACATATTAAAAAAGATCCCTATCTCATTTCTGACACTACTTAATCCTCAGATTGTTTGTTTTGTATCTTTGGGGAGACATGCAGAGCACTCTCCACCAGACAACCTTCGATCTGTAGGAGGAGTCAACAAGGATAGATTTTGTGAGTTCACTTGTTTAGAAGGTTGTTACTTATTGTATTGTATCATACTGTTACTTTAAATACAATGTTTATTTTGATGTTACTTTTATTTTATTGTATCATAATGTTAGTAAGTTGTTACGTAACAATGAAACGTGACATTTTATGTAACGAGTTGCGTCGTTACCTTCTTTTTCTTTCACATCTTGCCTTTAATTTTCATCTAATAATTTTATTTTACCCTACCTTTTTTTAAATAAAAATAACTCTACCTGCGCCCTATTTTTTCTTTGTATATTGTACTTTATTCTTCAGATTACTGGTACGTGGCACTATAAAACGACCAAAAAACAATACGGTTTATCCAAACAATGTATTAATCAAAATAGTACAGTACAATACTGTTAATTATGATATTATTGGATAGTGTAGATATGAGAATATTTAAATATGGTATGATTAGATAGTGTAGCTATGAGAATATTCCCTAATCCCTTTCATTAGGCAGGCAGTTAGGAGATTGAGTATTATTTTATTAGTTTCTTTGCTTATTTACATTATTTGTAACAACTATTTAATCCCGTCAACTTGAGGGAATAATCAATCAATTCAATTTCCAGTATCTCTTCTTCTTCTAATTTCTCATGGTTTCAGAGCTACTGTTTTTAGCAACATAAACTGAAAAAAAAGAAGAGGAGGGATCGATCAATTGGTTGCTAAATCAACCATATTAGAGAACTGTCGAGTTTTATCTCTCTCTTTCTATAGTACTTTTTCTGACAAAAAAGTGGCTCATAATGGAGATAGTATTCTACCTACACTTGATGTCATATATGGATCATTTCAATCTACCACTTTAACCGGAGCAGACTATAATAACTACCTTCAGTACCAAACATCAAGGCGACAATAATCAACTGCTTGCACAGTACAACCTGGTAACTCATTTGCTTATGTCATAGTCTCCATCTCAAGAACAATGGATTCCTAATTTTGGTGCTTCTGACCATATTTCTGGTAACAAAAACACTCTCTCTACTCCTACTATCCCTTCTACCTCTATACTGTTACTTTGGCTAATAGATCAAAGACAATTGTAAAAGGGATAGGTATAGCTCATCCTCTGCCTTCCATACCTTTAAAATCAATCCTTGTTGCACCTGATTGTCCATATAATCTTATTTCATTAGCAAACAACCTGAAATGTGTTGTAACCTTCCTTGATAATTCTATTCTTGTGCATGATTGAAGTACGGGATAGGTGATTGAGAAAGACATGAGTCACCGGGATTGTACCTCCTCTCTATCCCAACACCACATGTTGTTTTCATTTCCGTTGTTTCTTTTGAATTGTTCCAAAGTCAATTGGGTCATCCAAGTCTCTTGAAATTGCAAAAGATGGTCCCCAGTTTATCTAGTTTATCTTTGTTAGAATGTGAGTCGAGCCAGCTTGGGCAGCACACTTGTGCCTCTTTTTCGAAGTGCGTCAATAATAGGGCCACCTGTGTTTGAAATCATTCATTCGGATATATGATGTCCAAGTCGTGTCAGTTCTTCCTTAGGCTTTCATTATTTTGTTACTTTTATTGATGACTACTCTTGGTGCACATGGTTATTTTTATTGAAAAATATATCAGAGCTGTCCTCTATCTTTCAGAAATTTTATGCTGAAATTCGCAATCAATTTGATAGTTTCATTAAGAAGTTAATTAGTGATAATGCCCGAAAATACTTCTCTACTTCTCTTTTTTTTTGTCATCCCAAGGTGTATTGCACTCGTCTTCTTGTGTACATACTCCTCAAACAAAATGGAGTATTTGCGCGAAAGAACAAATATTTGATTGAAACAGCTCGAATATTGCTCATTCACAATCATGTCCCTTAATATTTTTGGGGTGATGCCGTTATTACTGTTTGTTATTTAATCAATCACATGTCTTCATCAGTTTTGCACTACCACAATCCTCACTCAGTCCTCTATCTGGACAAAAATTTGTTTCCCTTTCCTCCACGTGTGTTTGGTTGCACTTGTTTTGTTTATAACCTTACCCTTGGAAAAGATAAACTTCAGCACAAGGCTTTTAAATGTATCTTTCTCGGGTTTACTCGTCTACAAAAAGGTTACAAATGCTTTGATCCCTCTACCAATAAGTATTTGATCTCTGCAAATGCTACTCTTTCCGAGACTTATCTGTATCTTTCTCCTAATACGGGAAATCGGAACGTCATATCCATCCTTCCGGTTCCAACTATTCCAACCCCTGCTCCACCTCCAACTCCTAAGGTCTATTTTCGACGACCTCAACCTCCTTCTAAGCTTGCTAATACCAGTTAGTACTTCTAACTTTGATACAGGTACACAACACAATCTTGGTGACTCTTTGCCTGCTCCACCAATGTCTTCTGCTCCAGTCCAACACTTATCAGATGATCTTCTCATTGCTCTTCGCAAAGGTACCATAACTACTTCCAATCAAACTACCATTTATGCTTTATTTAAGTTATCATCGTTTGCCACCTTCATATCATGCCTTCATTACTAGCTTATCAACAATCAAAGTTCCAAAGTGGTTCATCCAAATTGGCGTCAGGCTATGATTGCGGAGATGACTGTTTAACATGATAATGGTACCTGGGAGTTTGTTCCTTTACCTCAAGGCAAAATCACAGTTGGTTGTCGTTGGGCATTCATAGTTAAGGTAGGTTCGGATGGAGCTATTGATTGTCTCAAAGCGAGACTGGTTGCCCCTTTTTCAGCTGAACATCAAAAATGCATTCCTACCTGGAGAACTTGTTGGAAAGATATATATGGAGCAACCACCAAGGTTTGTTGCTTAGGGGGAGTCTAGACTAGCTTGTAAACTTCATGGATTCTCTATGGTCTCAAGCAGTCTCCAAGAGCATGGTTTGGTCGTTTTCAAGTTGTTGTCCCACAATTTGGAATGATCTAAACAGAAGTTGATCACTCCATATTCTATAGGCATTCATCTCATGGCAAACATATCTTTTTAATTATTTATGTTGATATTGTTATCACAAGAGATGATCATGAAGGTATTATGCAACTCAAACAACACCTCTCAAGTCATTTCCAAACTAAGGATTTGGGCAAGCTGAAATACTTTTTAGGCATTGAAGTGGAATAGTATGGTCATGGTAATGCCATTACACAGAGAAAATATGTCTTATACATTTTGGAAGACGTTGGTATGTTGGATTGCAAACATGTGGACAATCCCATGAATCCAAATACTAAACTTATTCCAGGACAAGGGGAGCCTCAAAGAAATCCTAGCAGATGCCAGAGATTTGTTGGCAAACTCAACTATCTTACGATCATGTGACCAGACATCTCATTTATTGTTATTGTAGATAGCCAGTTTTTGCAATCACCTTGTGATAGTCACTGGAATGGAGTGATTCGCATCCTGCGATATATCAAAATCTCTCCAGGACAAAGTTTATAGTATAAAGATAAGGGACACACCACGTTGTTGGATATTCAGATGAAAATTGGGCAGGATCTTCTTCTAACAGGCGGTCCACTTCAAGTTGTTGTGTTCTAATTGGAGGAATATAAATCATGGAAAAGTAAAAGAGCAAGTTGTCATAGCTGGATTGAGCGCGGAGGCAGAGTATCGAGCTATGGCACTAGCTACGTGTGAGCTTATATGGTTGGGACAACTTCTCCAAGAATTGAAGATGGGAGGAGTTGATTTGATGACATTGATTTGTGATAACCAAGCTACACTACATTCACTTCCAATGTCGTGTTTCATGAAAGAATGAAACACATTGAGATTGATTGTCACTTCATTCAAGAGAAGACTGAGTTTGGATACATCGCCATGAGTTTTGTCAACTCAAAAGATCAACTGGTGATATTTTCACAAATCACTTTGAGGATAAAAAATTGACTATATTTGTAGCAAACTTGGAGCATATAACTTATACGCTCCAGCTTGAGAATGAGTGTTATTATGGTATAGTTGGATAGTGTGAATACAATAATATTTAAATATGTTATGCAAATCAGTTATGAAAAAGTAATCACCAAAAAGATATACGGTGCTACACAAATCAGATATGAGAAAGTAGTCATCGAAAAGATGCACGATGCTACGAATATGAGAAAATAATCACCGAAAAGATGACACGGTGCTAAAGATATGAGAAAGTAGTCATCGAAAAGATGCACGATGCTACGAATATGAGAAAATAATCACCGAAAAGATGACACGGTGCTAAAGATATGAGAAAGTAGTCACCAAAAAGATAACATGGTGCTATGCAAATCGGATATAAGAAAGTAGTCACCAAAAAAGATGGCACGGTGCTACACAAATTAGATACAAGAGACTAGTCACCAAAAGCATGGCACGGGGATACACAAATTAGATATGAGAAATTAGTCATCAAAAAAATGGCATGGTGCCACACAAACACCGACGGATTTGGGGTTGAAACAAAACAGTCTCAGAAAGTCGCCGAAAATTGACGCACGATGACATATCTAGCTAAGTTTTCTTCCCCTGAATATGAGGTTCATGCATATATCATTGTCCCTACTTTTGTTAACATAACCATTGATCGTACGGGAGGCATATATGGGTCATAGCCGCCCGCCGACAACGCAAGCTCTTTGATTCTTTACCAAGATCGTAGAAACTCTGATACCATGTGAGAAATATAGGAGAAAAAATATTATTGGATTGTGTATCTATATTTTTACATTGAAATCCTATTTATAGACACTACATTAAACTCCTTTTCCAACTAGGACACAACATTACAATATTTTTCCAAGTAAGATTCTATATATTATTCTTATTCCTATTCCTACCCTAAGTGGGATTGTATATTCTATTCTTGTTCCTATACCTATTCTAATTTCTAACAGTCCGTAAGGGCCCGTTGTTCCTAAACTCTTTCCCAATTTGCTATCTGATTAAGAATGTCCTCCTTCCCCTGCTTTCGGCTCCCCCTATGGTCCTTGCTCCACTCCAATTTTTCTTTTAACATTTTCAACTTCTCAGCTACTACATATCCTGCTCAAGCATTCACCGAGAAAGACTTCCACGATTCACTTACCTTATCTTTAAACCCCTCCACTTCCAGCCACTATGTCTCAAATTTAAAGTAAGACTTGTTCCAATCCCAATCTCCCCATGTCATTTCAATAGGGTTATGATCTGAAGTTATTTTAGGTAAAATATTTTGTTTGATGTGACCAAAACTTTCCCCCATTGTGCATAGTGGAGAAATCTGTCAATCCTTGATGCACCTCTATGGTCCTCCCCTCTTCTCCAAGTGTATGATCCTCCAAATAAAGGAGGATCAACCAATTCTAGTTCCTCAATACAAGAAAATTATGTCATAGCACGACTAAGCCTATAGCAATTTGTTCTCTCTGATGGGTACCTGGAAGTCACTAGAGACTAACTTGACTCGATGGATGGAGGGAGAGCCCTCCAACTCAAGCACGAAATCAATGTTGAGTCAACAATCATCGAGAGGGGTACCACCAAGCGAGATCGAGACCAGCCCTCTAGTAACTTCCAATTCTTCTCATAGCACTCTTCTGGTCTCTCCGTTACAATCTGCATACACTGCACTGAGATGCCAACTATGTCTTCATTGACTCCCACTCTCCACCGATTTTCCCTTTCCAGACTCTTTTGTCCCAAAGAATTAGAATTCCCCCACTACTCCCAAGTCCCAAGTGCCCCCTTATGAATTTCCCCAGCCATCTATTGCTCCATATGCTCTGCAATATGCCCAAGGTCCATTTTATTATGGTGCCAGCGCCAAGGATCTGAATCCCTACTCCTAAAAACAGTTTCCTCTCTCTTGTCTTAAAGTTCTTTTACTTTTTCTATTCTAATTAATAACAAAGTTATTCACTTCTCCAACAAAAAAAAAGTGAACTTTTTCTTTTTCTTATTCCCACACAAGAGTAAAAACAATTTTTCTTCTCCTTTTTCCCACAAAAGAATGGTGGTTCAGACCAATGGAGTTGGAACACTGCCTTCATACCCTGACTGGGGCGGATAATGAGGAATATCTCAGTACCAAATTGTAAAGCCACAGTTATCATCCTCGTCTACAGGCAACTTCCAACTAGTAGGGTTCCAAATTGTAAAGCAACAATTTTAAGCCTTTTGTGTTTAAATTCATAATCAATTTGGTGTTCCAATTAGGAAATTTAATCAAGAGAATAATTTTCTGCACCTATCTCTTCTTTTGTCTTCACAAGGTATTCTGCATATGTCATCAAGTGAAACAAAATGGAGTTGTTGAATGTAAATATTGGCATTTCACCCAGACAGCTAGTACATTGCTAATTCGTACTCATATTCAGCTTCGTTTTTGGATTGATCTTATTCTGACCAATTGTTACCTAATCAATCACATGCCTTCCGCTGTTTCGCAGAGCAAGAGTCCCTATTATATACTTCGTTCAAAAGAACCTCAGTTTCCTTTTTCTCCACGAGTGTTTGAGTGTACCAGCTTCGTCCAAGATCTCACCCCCAAAAATGGCATGCTGTAGGTGAAGTCTGTCAAGTGTATCTTCTTGAGGTACTCCCGTCTCGAAAATTGTTACAAATGATATGATCCTATTACACATAAGTACTTTGTCTCAGCTGATGTAACCTTTTTCTAGACATCCCCTTGCTTCTCACCAATTCACAATATCAAAACATCATATCCACGATTTTTCCCATTTCAACTCCAAAATTTCTTACTCTAGCTCCTCTCCTACTCTAGACAACCTCGATCAGACCCTCCACCAGCTAATCCAACTGATATTTCTGTGATTCTGTCTACGAATGTCAAATGGGTGAGTCATGTCATATTAAGACAGGTCAAAACGTATTATGTCAATAAATGGGTCATAACCCAACCCACCCAAAACCAGTTTGGATCAAAATGAGTTGGGTTAAGATGGGTTGAATTGTGGATCATAATGCTAATCGGCCAATAATTACTCAAATTGAAGCAACACTATGCAACATCTATTTAGGTAATATTAGTAGCAAAATCTTCTTTCTTCAATGCATTAACAGGGATGATAGCATTAGCAGGACAGATCATGCAGCACTGTAGATGAGTGCATGTGTACGTATGAGCTGTCTAACAAATCTTTTTTTGATCCATGGATTTGTTTAATTCACTATAGTTAACTTGAAATGAAAGAATGCCCCTATGTTTGCAGAAGATCCCTCCAATCCATTCCTTCCCCTGCTCTTTCACCCCATTGACGAAGATACTGCACTATACCTCTCAGGCACACCATTAAGTTGGACTATTGATAGCTGAACTAGCAGACTGTCGCGAAATGCCCAGCCAGCCACCCAACAAGCAATTTCTAATACTACATTATATAGGAGAAGTAAATGCATCAAATTACAAAAAAGTATCCTCAGCTCCCAGCCCCAAAATCAAGAGGACCCAGTAGCAAATAGGAAACATCAACCCAGCTGCTAGCAGTCTTACCAATAATCTGCCAAAATTGGAATCAAGTTGATGATCATCCTCCTCCTCGCTAAACACTGCAATAGTCCTAAATAACATGAGCCAAGTCCAAGACAATCACACTATGAAATAAAGATATGAAGGATCATAGTCTTGAGTAAAAAGCTACCTTGAAGCCAAGTCCAAGACAATCACACTATGAAATAAAGATATGAAGGATCATAATCTTGAGTAAAAGGCTACCTTGAAATAAACGCATAAAAATAGAGATTTACAATATTATTATTATATTATTATTATTATTTTATTTTATTAGAGATCTACAATATTATTGTCTTTTAAGAATTGTGCACCAAGGAAATCTACAATCAAGTCAAGAATTCAATAATGGATGATTCACCAAATACAAAATGAAACTAACTCAATTCAGTTAACTAAATTTTGCAGCTCAACCTACAAATTTAGAGGAAGAAAACCAAAAAACAATGTTTTGAGAAGTAATTTCATCCTTACTCCAAAAGATGAAGTTAACACTCAAAGCTAAATCAATGGTGGGGTTTCTCTATTAAAAAAAGGGAAATAAAACGAGTATGATGAGAAACTGACATAATGAATATGCAGGAACAAGAAGCTCAAAAATCAGGAAATTATCAACTGCATGATTAAATTTTGAAAATATAATCCAATGCATGCGTCCCACATTAGGACTCTCTTTTACATGTTATCCATTGTTTCACACACTCTTAGGTCTCATTTGTTTCACTTATGGAGTTCTGAATTTGAATCATCCAAATCTCAGTTCATTAAGTGAATTTTTAGTCTAATCTATTCAGATCTTGTACATAGATTTAAAATCATTGAAGCGTTCAATAAATGATTTTTGTGAATGGGAATTTTTTTTTTTTTTTTTTGATAACCGAGAAATCCGTCTGTGACCCGCCCTTTGGACCAATCACAGCCTTCTAAACTCGGTGGATAATGGGCCCGCCCCTCTACCCTTCTCCACTTAAATACCGGGCTTCGCTTTGCATGGTGTGGGGCTTGAACCTGCGACCTAAGCCACAAATCCTCCACCTTTTGCCACTTGAGCTAGGCCTTGGGGGCTGTGAATGGGAATTTTTATTACTAATCTATCTATTACCACCACCGTTAACCTCCATTGTACAATCACTGTTGTTAGATAATTAGTGTGCATAATAATATATTAATTTAGTCGTCATGCATCCTTCCCAGTGACTGTTCAGATCTTATTTGCAGCATTCCTCTTTTGGTAAGTGTTGTGTGAAAACCAACACTATCATTGGGTTACTCAGGCTCCGGCAACAAAACCCCAGCCAGCCCCACCGGAATACTAATTCTCACACACTTTCATGCACCAAACAGAGGGACAATCTTCTGGAGAGCATTTTTTTTTTGTTGTAGTGCGATGTTGGAGCAGCTCCTCAGGAAATATGAACACTTTATGGTAGGGGCAAGCCATTTTTCGGCATTGAATCTGGTCAGGAAGAACAAGTTGTTCCGATTCTGGGGAAAAGATTCATCTTCCAATTTTCCCATATCATTGCCCGGCGCGTGAGTCACTTTCCGGCAACTTTCAGACTTCGTTCTTTAGTGCGTGGGGATCGTCTTGTGGTTCCGTACCCATCCATACCATTTTTTACAATTCCAACCACTTATACTTTCCCGATGAGTTTTCCGGTGAGTTCCAACAGTGTTGCGACCAGAATTTTCCTGTTATGTTCACTGTGAGAATCTGACCTGACCCATCTCGATTCTAACCACCTCCAATGCCACCGGCAGCTTTTCCACCAGTTTTCACCATCTCATTTTTCTGGAAATCCTGTACTGAGGCTCGCCTGAAGCTATTGCTTACAATCTTCTGTTAAGTTGTGGTGCAGAGATCAAGGTATTCAAGATCACAAAGGTTAGTGAAGTTGATGAAAAGGCCCATGTACAGTTGAAGAAGGTTGACGCTCAACCTATGTAGTCTCTTGTGGAGATCTATCAATTTCAAATAGTTCACCTTTTTCATCCATTCCAGACATATTATTCAATTTGGAAAAAGGTTCAAACTTTATACAATCATAACAAATCTCGTTTTATGATGTGATATCTTGAATGACAAACTTAAAAAATTAGGAATTGGATACTCTACTTACTTGGGACAAGTACAGGCAGTCGTGAAGGAATTCGATAAGCTGATGCCAGTTACTGCAAGTGTTGAAAAACAACGACAAAAGATGTTTCTAGTTCTCTTACACTTGTTGGACTTTCTAATGACCTTGATTCAGTACATGACCAGATTTTGGCCTATCCAACTGTTTTATAGTTGATGAAGTATTCTCTCAATTACTTCATCTTGTTGCAGCACCCAGTCACATAGTGATCTCATCACAAGTAGTAGATTCCTAAGTTCTCGCATATCAGACAATGGAAACTCTCGACCCAAGTGCAGTTATTGTTGTAGACTTGGCCACACTCTTAAAGTATCTTGTTCTCTGCATGGTCAACCACCCAAAAATGCACACGTTCCTCAAACTGACACTACAAGTAATCAAAGGTTTTCTTTATCTAAAGGGGAATATACTGAGTTCCTTTATTATAGAGCAAGTAAGCAAACATTTCCATAAGTAGCCTTTGTTGCTCAGAATGATACTTTATTTGTTGGTAATTCTTTTGCTTGTGTTTCACAATCTAGTACTCTTGGACCGTTAGTTGTGGACTCGGGCACTTCAGATCATATTTTTGGCAAACATTGTTTATTCAGTAATAAATCACCACGCTGCATACTATGTTTCAGTAAGTGGTAATTTGGTATCTTGGAAACACAAAAAACAGAGTGTTGTTGCTTGATCTAGTGCAGAAGTAGAATATCGAATAATGGCTATGGGAACAAGTGAGCTAATTTGGATCAACCAATTGCTCAGAGAATTAAAATTTAGAAAAGTTAGTCAGATAGAACTTGTGTGTGATAATCAAGTTTCCCTTCATATTGCATCAAATCTAGTATTCCATGAGAGGACTAAGCACACTGAGGCTGAATGTCACTTTGTCAAATAAAAGATATTCTTTGGAGATATGTTGTTTTTAAAAAAATAAATTGGTAAACTATATACCCCAGCATTAAGGGTATGCTGGCAACCTCCAAAAAGTTGCAAAGTTCCTAACAAGTCTACAAGTTAATCTATATCCTTTATACAAGTTATCGAGATACAATGCATTTCCATTTAACTTTCTGATTGAAATTGGATCTGTTTTCAAAGCTTCCACCATCTCTATCCTCTTTTACTTCTCCCATTCTAATCCAGCGGCTTAGAAAATCAGTTGTATGTTCAGGCATGATCCACCTAGTATTTGTGAGGTTGAGAAGAAGTGTCTGCAGTGGAGTAGTGAAGTTGCAATGTAGGTACAAATGCTTGTTTGTTTCTTCTGTTTTGTTACAGAGAAAACACATTGACACCAGTTGCATTCTTTTCTTCTGTAGCACTTCTTGTGTAAGGCAAGCTCTCAATACCACCTGCCATGTGAAACATTTCACCTTGGTAGGAGAAAGACTTTTCAGATATAACTACATGGGAACTGAAATCTCCCAACTTGGTCAGTCATCTCCTTTTTGTATGCGCTGTTAACTGTATAACATCCATCCTTGCTTTGCTCCCAGATAATTGTCTCAGTCAGTTGTGAAGCCCTCAAAAGTAGTTAGTTTCCAGAAGAGATGCCACCCTGTGCACTTCCCAATCATTCATAAGCCTCCTAAAAGACAGATCCCACCCCTGGGGTGACCAACACTCAATTCACTTTTGCTTCAGGATTGTTGCACTAAGTGAACACATCTGGGAAAAAAATCCATGAGAGGGATTTGATCGATCCAAGCTTCTTTCCAGAATTGGATCTCATTCCCATCTCCAACCTTTAGTCTCAGATTTGATTTCATCAGGGGCCAAAGATTCCTTATAGTTCTCCAAACTCCAACTCCTAAGGTTCTGTAACTATCTTTGTCCACCAAGGATTTGTTTCACCAAATTTTGCCTTAATAACCTCCTTCCATAGAGCATGTTCCTCACCATTGTATCTCCATAGCCATTTCATCATTAGACAATTATTCTGTATACTTAAGTTCCTGATTCCCAAACCACCCCTCTTCTTGTTCAATAATATGTTTCCCACTTCACCAACTTGTAGCCACTTCCTTCTTTACATGCTTCCCATAGAAAACTCCTCCTTAGTTTGTCCAGTTTTTTGACAATCTTGGAGGGTAATAGAAAAAAGTGAATCACATATGTGGGAAGAGAGTCTAGCACAGATTTAATCAAAGTGAGTGTACACTGAAAAGAAAAATATTGGGTTTTCCATCTAGCTAACTTTTTCTCTGTTTTCTCCATTATACCATCCCGTATCTCTACTGCTTGGTGCTTATTTTCCAATGACATGCCAAGATAAGTCGTTAGCAGATTCTCCACTTCGCATCCCAAAATATTTGCCAATTCTTAAATATGTGAGACTGCCTTATTGGGAATTAAACTGATTTTACCCTAATTAACTCATCTTTGGAGATATTGTTACACAACCACCACAACTAACATCTTCGCCACCAGTCACCACCTCGACCATTGACCACCACCATCGCTAACAAGTTGTTAACAACAACATCCACTGCACAACCACCAATATCAACCATCTCTATTGTAAATCATCACCATCAGCCATCATCCCACAGTTGTCACCTTTGGCCACCACCACAACCGCCATCAGCTACCATGACACAATTACTACTGCCAATCCACTAACCACACTTATGAATTATCATCACCGACCCACTGTCGCCAACTACCACCATCATTAGCTTTTGGAGTGTGTTTCATCACATAAGCAGTTTTTACGATATAATGTAAATTATATTTTTTCTAATTGTTTGGATATGAGATTTAATTCTTCATTTATTTGAATTTAATATTGATTAATTTTTAAATAAAGATAAAATTAAACAAATATAGATGTTGATACAAACCTTTTTAATTATTCCATGTTCAAATCTCTTCCTGATTCCCGAATTACTTGTTTCCCTCTCATAGTCATTTGTGGTCTCACAAGTAAGAATATGAAGAGCACTCAAATTTACCTGAATGTTGAGATATATAATTACTATCTCCTGCAGATAAGCAATCAAATTTTTTCATTCCTGCATGGGGTTTCTTCACTACTGCCTGCATTGAATCATTCAATCTAACTGGAAGGATAACAGCTGCCATGTTATCCATACTACCCTTTTCAAAAGCAGCATTCACTATGCAGTCAGCTAAGGAGTATGAACATGTATAAGCGAGTTCTGATTGCACAGCGAAATCAGCGTGTAGATTCCATAATATGTCACAAATATCCTGTGAGCTAAGCTTTTCAAAAACGCCATCAGATGCTGCCACCAAATAGCAGTCGTTGTCTGTCAAAGGTTGCCAATCAGTGACTTCAGGAGCAGATATAACACCATAACTGATAAAAACATGAAGAAATTGATTAGTCATATGTCAAGTTAAAATAAGTCTCTTGAAATTTCCTAGTTTACTAGCACTGTACAGGAAAAATAAAGCGGATGAATCAATGCATGTCTTCTAGTTCAACAGTTAAATACACAGATCAATCAATGCATGCATCCAACTTCACCAATTAAGATGCACAAAAATTTATGCATGCATCCAAGTCCAACACAAATCTGCAGACGAAGCAATGGTGGGAATATATTTACAAAGATCTTCCCGCAAAATGTGAAACTTACCTTTTAAAATAAACATCACCTATTGCTCTAGAAACAGCCAATTGACCATTAACCCTAGCTACACCGCCCCACTTAGAAACATGTCCTCCTGCAGTCTCCACTCGAGACCTCTCATCATCCCTATCTGGATGGTGGTCTCTAGTCAGTTCCTTAGCAATCAGAAAAGGCCACTGGTCAGGAGCTGCCAGCTTGAAGCTTCGGAAGTTCTTCACAGGTTCGAAAATTCCAAAGCCTCTTGTTTGCCTATACAATCTCAATAAATTAGCTGCAAGCAAAAATGAATTAAAATTACTATCTCCGCTAACAGTCCACACACTGAAAGAGCCCACCACAATGGCCTTAATCCAAGTTTAGAGGCATTCCATTGCTCACTAAAATATGAGTTTTGTTATAATTAAGGACATTATATATAACATATGAGTATAGAGCATGAAGATTATTACTAGACATAGAGCCTGAAAGAAGGACTTTTCTAACCTTTAGACTCTTGTTGAGATTTAAATTCTTCAGAGCATAAAAATGCCTTTGAATCTCCAATATTGGCAACTAAAATTTGATTTTCTGCCGTAAGAATAACTGTGGCGGTAGAGCCAGAACCAAAATTGTGTCTAGAAGCATCCTTCAAAATCAGACAAGTTTAAATTAAGACAAATAATAATAAAGATTTAACTTTGATCGGCCTAACAAAAAAGATACAACTTGAGATTACCCTTGAAAATGCAGAGTCAATATCATCAATTGCCCTTAGCAATGCTTCCCTCAATATTTCCAAGTGAAAAGATCGATCAATGATTGATGAAACAGTCAGCTTGAGCCTACAGAGAAAAAATTACAGCTTTCCTTGGATAAGTACATCATGAAATTAGTTTGGACAATATGAGATGCCATTGCATAAGTAAATACAGATAATGAAACCCTATAATAGCAAATAAAATAAAAAAGTAGACTATAGCTTAAAATATCATTTTAAAGGATCATTCAAGTTTAGACTTAAAATTACACATATAATAAAGTAAGATTATTCGACCTGCTTTGAGTTTTAGTTTTTCTTGAGCCAAGGGTCTAACAGAAACAACCACTCTACCTCTCAAGGTAGGGGTAAGGTTTGCGTACACTCTACCCTCCCCATAGGATTACACTAGGTATGTTGTTGTTGTATATAATAAGTAAGAGTATTCCCCTTTGACACAGTAATATTGAGGATCTAAGGAAGGATCATCTACTCTCACTGCCATGTTCCTGTATGCAGAATTAAACTAGCAATGCTGCAGCAGCCATTAAAAGACTCCATAAAAGGAATCAGGAACTTTTGCTCGTCTTTGTCAAGCCTTGGATATAATCAACAAAGGTGCCCTACTTTTGCTCGTTTTCTATAGAATAGTGGAAAAGAGGGGCAGTCCATAGCATTCTTTAAAGTATGTGTTACCATGAAAAAGGGACTGAACGACATATCACCTTACAAACAACTTTTCCACATTTCAATGTCTCATAATTGATAAGAGTTATTTTAGTAAAAAGAAATATGTTTGCTTTCGAGAGGACGACGAAAAAGCAGAGAGTGTAGGTATGTAGAAGACACCTCCCAACGTTCAACTCATCCAGCTCCCAGTTCAGGTCTCGAAGAGTACTCTGTGCTCTTTCATTTGGCAAGAGCCCAATCATTTTCCTTGAAAGAGCTGAAAATGTTGCATCAAGAAGAAAAAATGTATGCAATGTGAAATACTGTAGCAATAGCTTTGATGCCATTTCACTTGCTTCATCACCATTATGACCATCAAAAACTGCGACAACACCAACAGTAACCTCAGTAATACCATCACTACCTGCATAATATAAGAAATTTTAGAGAAAATAGTGAACCATAAGGAGAAGTAAGAACATAGTGTGAGAAATAAAGACTCGGGAAATTATTACTAAATTATGTATTCCACATTATTATACCGAACCCAATTTATAGACACTACATTACAATTTTTCTCCACGTAGGACAGAATAAACAATCGTATTCCTATTCCTATTCTAACACTCCCCCTCAAGCTAGTGCACACAAGTCATATGTAGCAAACTTATTCCAGAGTACCAATAGAAGACTTGGTGAAAATGTTTGCAAGTTAATCACTTGACTTAAATTTTTTTGTAACAATACTACTGAGAATATCTTTTCTCTGACAAAATGACAGTCACTGTGCTTAGTCCTCTCATAAAATACCAGATTTGATGCGATAGGAAGGACCGCTTGGTTATCACACTCACACACAAGTTCCATCTAACTAATTTCCCCAAATTTTAGTTCTCTGAGCAACTGTTTAATCCAAACTAGTTCAAAGTTTCCTGATGTCATAGCTCGAAATCCTACTTCAACACTAGATCAAGAAACCACACTATGTTTCTTACTCTTCCGGGACACCAAATTACCTCCAACTAAAACACAATATCCGAATATAGAACACGTCTATAAAAAGGTGCCCAATCAACATTTGTATATCCGATGATCTGCTTATGGCCTTGATCCTCGAAGAGTAGTTTTTTACCTGGAGCTGACTTTATATATCGGAGAATGCAAACACTAGATCTTAATGACTATCACAAGGAGAACCATAAACTGACTCACAACACTCATAGGAAAAGAAATGTCAAGTTTAGTCACAGTGAGATAATTTAACTTACCAACCAACCGTCTATATCTTCCGGGATCACTGAGTGGTTCCCTTGTCCTAGCAGGAGTTTAGCACTCGGGTCCATAGGAGCATCAATGGGTCTACATCCCATCAAACATACCTTTACAAAAATGTCTAAGACATACTTTCTTTGTGAAATAATATTACTTGATCTGGACTGAGCAACCTTAATTCGGAGAAAATACTTCAGCCTAGTGAGGTTTTTAGTCTAACTCCCAAATGTGAAGCAAACATCTGTTCAATCATAGTCTACCTCCATCTTGGATGTGGAAGTGCTTCACATGTTTGCGGCTTAGGGATGAAAATAGAGGACAAAGATGATATAAACGCATAATTGGGTGATGATAGACAATGATAACTTAAAAAGGTATAATGGAGGTTGGTATTATGAGTGGATCTTAAACATTTCTGAAATGCAGTCGATTGACTAGGAGGAGACAAGTCTGCAGTAGGTGCAGGGTCCGACACATGACATGAATCATTTGGTCCTGATGTTGGATGAGGATGACGATAATAAGGTCAAAAATGGCATTGTGACTAAAAATGTAAAAGTAACCGTAGATTCCTCAAAAATTTGAATAGGTAAGACCTCGAAAATATAATGATGATAGGAAGAAGATGTAAATTAAGGTCGAGACTCAAAATATTTGACATTGGCTGACTTAAGGTACTGATGAATGTGCAAGTAGCAACAATAGCCATTTTGAACCCAAAAATAACCAAGAAAGAAACATTTGAGAGCACATGGGGTTAATTGATCTTAGCCCGAGGCTAAGCAATGAACAAGACATGTTCCTAAAGAAACGAGGAGAAAGAGAGCATAGAGGTGATTTAGGAAACAAAATGGAATAAGGAATTTGATTTTGAATGTGAGATTAGGACATCTGATTAATTAAATAGCAAGACGTGAGAACTCCATCGTCCCAAAATTGTAGCGGAACATAGGATTCAATGAGAAGAGTGTGATCAGTCTCAATGAGATGTCTATTCTTCCTTTCTACTACCCCTTTCTATTGAGGGGTATGCGGATAAGATGTCTGATGAATAATTCCTTGGTGAGTCATAAACTAACAAAACTGGGAGGATAAGTATTCTAAGACATTATCATACACAAAGTGTGAATAAGAAACACCAAATTGGTTTTGCATTTCGACACAAAAACTCTTGAACATAGAATATAAACTCGGAACGATCTTCCACTTTGAAAATCCAAGTACATCTTGAATAATCATAAATGAAACTAACAAAACAACAAAATCCTAAGTTTGAACCAACTCTACTAGGACCCAAATATCATAATGAACTAATGAAAAAACATCTCAGCACTATGTGGAAAGGTAGTGCGGGTATGTTTCCAAATTGACGCGACTCACAATCTAATGTAGATAGACCTGACAAACTAGGCACCATCTTTTGTAACTTGAATAAGCTTAGATATCCAAATGTATGTGAATAGGTCAGGAGGATCTTTAACGAGGCATATTATGGAGGAATTAAGAGAAATAAGATAGTAGAGGCCTTGTGATTCAAGCCCTGCGTCAATAGTTTGCCCTATACTGCAGTCTTGCATAGCATAGAATCATCATAAATATTATGGCGCAATTTCTAGGGTTTGACAGATGCAAGATTAAAAGAAGAATTAGGGACATAAAGAACAGAGAGTTTTGAAATACAGAGGATAAAAGATTACCTTGTCAACTCTTTTAGGTTGTGCTTGGATCCATTGGCTAAAGTAACAACATGAAGATACTAAGAACCCCTGATTACCAACATTGTTAGACTGAGCAATTTTTTTTTTGATAACCAAGAAATTTGTCGGTGACCCGCCGCCCTTGGACCAATCACAGCCTTCTAAACTCAGTGGATAATGGGCCCGCCCCTCTACCCTTCTCCACTTAAATACCGGGCTTCGTTTTGCATGGTGTGGGGCTTGAACCTGCGACTTAAGTCACAAATCCTCCACCTTTTGCCACTCGAGCTCAGTGTTTTGGACGGCGAGAGGCGACAAGGGCCTGCCTCGCCACGCGGCGAGGCGAGCGGCGAGGCGCTCGCCTTTTTGAATCGTGGCGCCAATTAATACAAAAAATTAAAAATATTTAATTGCACATATAAATATCCAAAATCTCAATAGCAATAACATATATTAACAAATATTTCAATTCAAAAACATAACCCTAACGAGATAAGAGATTTAGGTTAATGAGTATAAATAAGTCAAATATTTTTATTTTTTTTCAAATGTAGGCAGTGGGCAGTGGCTTAAGTTCTTCAGAAATTAGACTTCACAATAAAAAACAGAGGGACTGAGAGAGTACTAAAAACAGAGCAAAAGAAGAGAAGAGAGATTGATTCGAGAAAAGAAGAGAAGAGAGATTTGAGAAAAGAAGAGAAGAGAGAAGTCACGATTCACGTAAGAGAAGAGAGAACTCGCAGCAGCAGTCGTCGCGAACTCGCAGCAGCAGTAGTCGTCGCGAACTCGCAGCAGCAGCAGTCCCGACTCGCGACTTCAAGTTTCCAGTCGAACTCGCAGCAACAGCAGTCGTCGCGAACTCTAATTCCAGTCGAGGTATTGATTTCAAGTTTCCAGTCGCGAAATGAAAAGGAGCAGTCGCAACATCAAGTTTGAAAAAAATACCCAAAAAAAACCCTAATTTGACTTTTAATTATTAAAATTCAGACTTTTTAAAAAAAATAATCAAAAAGGCGATGCCTATTGCATCGCCATTCCACGTCACGAGTCACCTTGGCTCGCCTTTTTGACCTCGCCTCGCCGATAATAGGCGCAGACCCCTCGCCACGCCATGCCTCGTCGCCAAAGGCGAAAGGCGCTCGCCTTTAAGAACACTGAGTCGAGCTAGGCCTTGGGGGTGTCAGTCTGAGCAATATAAGCAAGGGGTTTGCTATTTATGGTTGGGACTTTCATGTTGGAGGTCTCAAGTTTGAAACCCCTTGCTAGCGAAAGCAAGGGGTTTGCCTACTGGGTCGAGCTCGTCGCACCGGGCTTGCCTAGTGCGGGTTACCTCTCCTATGTGGTTTGCGAGCCATTGCATAAGATCAGGGGTTTTACCCTGTGCGCACCCAAAGGGTAGCAACTGCAGATTTCCCTTGTCATAAAAAAAAGATACTATGAATAAACAACATTTGACAAAAGTGATTTGTTACCAAAATATGATAAAAATATATGAGTCCATAACCCACTTCGAAGGGTACTAGACTATGAAACACAAGTAAAAAAATTAACAGCAACAAAAGTATCAGGTTGTGCGAGGCTACTTGTGGAGATGTCTGCTTACTTGATATGATACTCAAGGAAGTCATTATATTCCTCTTCAGATAATAAGAACCCCTGATTACCAACATTGTCAGACTGAGCAATATAAGCAATCTTCAGTGGTCAACCATGCAGTGAATAGCATACGTCACGAGTGTGTCCAAGCCTTTTACAATACCTACACTTAGGTCAAGATCTTCCAAAACGATCTCATCCTTGTCGATTTTCCATAAACTAAGATATTCAATTTTTTGTGGTTTGCGATGTAAGAAAAAATAAGTCAATGGTTGGTGATGAGACCATTGTGTGATTAGGAGTCACGGCAAAGCTAAGTAAACAAGAGAATAGTTCATCAATTGTAGGAACTGTAGACTAGCCAAACTCTAATCACACACTGAATCAACATCACTAGGAAGTCCAACAAGTGTAAGAATTATAAATAATGTATGTCTATGCTCTTGTTTTTTTCCAGCATTTGTAGTGACTGGTATCAACCTCTTAAATTTCTCCATGATTGTTTGTACATGTCTCAAGTAAGTAATTAGACACATATGATTCTTGTTCTTTAAGTTGGTCATCCGTGATATCACATCATAAATATGAGATACGTCATTAGTGTATAAAAACACGAGTCTTTCCCTAAACTAAATAACATGTCTAGAATGGGCGACACAAGGGCATCAACTTGAAATCAATAGATTGCCACAAGAGACTACATAATTGAATGTCAATCTTCTCCTACTACATTTTGGCCTTCTAATCTACCTCACTAGCCTTTGCCTTTTCATCTACCAAACTAGCCTTTTTTTGTTAAGTGGTCTATAACACCTTGACTCTTAAACGACAACTAAACCGAGGAAGCGGTAGCTAAATAGTTTGGACTTTCCATTAATAGTTCTGAAGTGATCATAGGGCTTGAACTTTCAATTCCTGTGTTTTTTGAGCCAAAAATATCACACAAAAGACATGGTTTTCTTGAAGGAGGGTCTAAACAAAGAAAGTGACTTTGAGGTTGATGTTGGTCAAGAAAAGTATCAAAGAAAATCTTTAAGTAGTTCAGGAGCTGGAATCTTCTCAAAGACTGCAAAGAAACTTCAATCGAGTCCCTAAGTATACTAAAAGTTCACAAAGATTGTTAGAAAACTGGCAAGGGCATTGGATTAGGGTTACGACAATCGAAATTAGCAGAAAATGCAAAGAATAGCTTCAGAAGGGTTGGGAGATTCCCAGGGAAAAGGATCTACTTCAATAGGTGCCAAAAAAACAGACGTTGGCTAAAGACTTTTGAGTTGCGCGTGAAGACGCATAAAAAGGCTTCTATTGGAGCATTTTCTTGGGCTTGCTCACCAGAGTTCACCTAAACCTTGTTAGCGTTGATTTTCACACAACACTTACCTAAAGAGAGGTGACAAAAAACAGACACTAAATAGTTACCGAAAAAGAAGGCACAATGAATATCTTTTTGTCTCGATGTTTTCTCATGGTTGCTTTGATACCATGTGAGTAATAAAGACTTAGGAAAATATTATTGAATTGTATATTCTACATTATTACACTGAGTCCTATTTATCGACACTACATTACAATCCTTCTCCACGTAAGACACTACATAAAATCCGATTCCTATTCCTATTCTAAAAGTATGTCTACACAGCATCGTGAGTAAGGTGGGATCTTACAATAGGTTAGATTCTACTAGAGCTATTTGAAACTAGTACTACTGGTAGGGCCTAGAAGTTAGAACCAATTTATTGACACTTTAAACTGCCATTGCCTAGGTTAAGCTCCAAAACATACGTATCTAGTATGCTTAATCTAGAAAATTAAATAGTTCTAAACATCTATGATACTATTCAATTCATCAAATGGGAAGTCCATTTCTCTTTTTTGGTTTATACCAAAGTAGAGTTCATTTTTTGTTCTATAAGGTTTCAAACCTTATCAACTGATCAACTCTACAAAATTTGCAAGGCATCCACTCAAGTCTTCTAAATATTTTTTTTCTACTCCATTCTATAAAGCTAAAGAAACATCATATGGCTCCATATGTTCCCATATGAAATAGGGCACCCACTTTTCATAAATTGTCTTAATTTGACTTAATACCAAGTAATGAAACTTCACATTGTTAGGAGAACTTATGGTTGTAAGCGCTTTAGTTTGTTTTTTATTAAAGCACATGCAAGTGCTTTAGTTTTCTTAAAGTAGAGTAGATAAAGGTTGTATTACAAAACATAAAAGTAGGTCTTATGTATCTTTTAAAGAGTATTATGAGTGAAAATATCTTCTCATAAGAAAATGGACAATGTGATTGCACAAATGAGGGACATACAATTTGAGGTGGAAGGAACACTAAGTAAGTTACATCTTCTACTACTATTCTATAAATAACAGCGCAGTGCCAAATTCAGACAACCAAATCAAAAGAAAAAAGAAAAACCTATGAGGAGAAGTCACTGGTCAGGGATTAGAATCAGAATTTGCACTCAACTACACGCTCACTTTTGAGAACCCCATTTTGTTTACCCCTAATATTTAATCTAGTAAAGATCTAATAACAAAGAAATGCTATTTTTTCTCCGCCAAGCTGCAACCAACCCACAATTTTTGATAAACACACAAAAGAGGCTTTGTTTTCTTGATATTAACACAAACTTTCCCTAATACCTTTTTCTTTATTTCACCAATTTTTCTGTCATTCATAATTTTGCTTTAAATACTCAAGTGGAACAATTGATACAATCTAAGACAGAAATAAGTAAGAACATTTTAAAATATGAGTTTTTACACCATTAAACTAAAAATTGGATTGATTAAACAATAAAAATGTTGGAGCTTGCTAAATTACCAAAAAATAAAAATTCATATAATAGGTTCACAGATAAAGTAATATGCATATTAGTAAATAAAAAATCTATCAAAAGTAAAAGTAGAAACAGATAATTTACTGGGGAAAGGGATGTGAATATCGAGAGCACAGAGAATTCGATCTTCTTGAGACTTGCGGCGACCTTGATGCAAGGCAGTTTGGCACCTAGCATTCGGCAATTTCGACCATTGTTCCGAACCATATTCTGGCAGCTTCCAGCGAGGGCATTTCGGAGATTTAAACACGGCAGGTGCACCACCTTCTTTATATACCGTCAAACATTTCGATGATTCTCCGTAAGTACATGTACTCACGCAAAGAACAAACCCTAACACAAACCCGAGAAATTCACATAAATCCATCCTCTTCTCTAGTATGTGATCATTCTCTGATCATAGGGTATTGAAATTGCAGGACCTGTGTTTCATGTTATTGAGAAATTGAGAGAAATGAGAGTAACCGGGCGGTGAATTTGAAAAGACGATGCTTTATAGGGATGTGTGGGTCTTGCTGTTTTTTCTCACGTTGGGTCTCTACGAATGAAACTGAAAAAGAGTAATCTAGAAGGGAAGTGTGTACAATTTGCACTAGGGGCCACTTTTACAGTTTTACTACTTTTATTTAAAACCTAGCCATTTCTAAAGTAACCTAATTTTAGCCCGGAGAGGTCAAACTTCATATACAACTTACAAGTGTTTATCGCAACTTCAATTGCATTAAAATTTGGAACAAAGTGGTCAAACCGATGTGTGTCAATGCAAACATATGAATATTTCTACAAATCAATTGTTGCACTATAATACTAATGCAACTTAACAAACTTAGATGTCGTTTTGATACCATATATTAGAGAAAAGTAATACGTGAAATATGTTATATTATCTGTTTTAAGTTTGATTTGGGTCACTTTGAAATATTAATATA